CGGGGGGAGCGCTGCCTCCCGGCCGCCCCGCTCCCGGCCCGGCCTGGACGAAGTTCTTTCTCCAAAGAACTCTGCGGTCCGGCAGCCGCCTGCCTGGGGCAGCGCTGCCCGCACGCGTGTGCTTGGGGCCGGGCCAACGTGGGAACCCCGACCTCGGCCTTCCGCAGAGCTGCCTGTCACCTGGGCTGCCGAGGAGCAAACAAGCTGTTGTCGATCCAGTGTTTTTAAAGCTTAACACGGATTACTCATGTGGAATGTAGAAACCATCTCAGTAGAAAATACTGCCTCATTCTTTTCCACAGTCTTAATGGTTGAATAATCACAGTTTCTAACAGAACCACTGGATGCACAATGTGTTCAGCTGCTCCTGTTGTAACTAACTGGACTCCAAATTCTTCCAGCGGCCTCTTCCTGTTCCTCTTTGGCCCTGTCTGCTGGTGTCCCAGGAGCTTCCTCTGTGCCCTCTGTACTTCCACACGTCGTACCCTCACGCTGGCAGTGTGGATGAAATGGAGCAGCCTGACACAAATCTATGACCCCCCAAGGATTCAGACAGAGCCTGGTGCTCTGCAGCAGAAGCAGCCGCCTGCACCCGTCTGCATTTCCAGTGGCCAAAGGACACCGAGCGTGGAAAACTGTTGCTACTCCTTTTAATGGTATTAGCAGGCAATTGTGGGATTTCTGTGTTGCCATCAGGCCTCAGAAACTTCCAAATATGTTCACGTGTGGGAGATGACTCCAGACCCACAGCCGCTGAAGATGGGCAAATGTTTTTTTGCTAGACTGCAGAGCTGGGCAGAGGCCCAACAGTCAACCTGTGGGTGATAGTGAGGCCCCAGCAGTGCAGAAGAAATGCCTCTGTCACTCTATTCATCTACCAGAAAGCGCTCATGGCGTAGCACTGCAGTCAAAAGCCTGAGCAGCCATGGGAAGCACCCATAAAGGGGAAGTTAAAACAACCAGAGAATGAAGTAAACCCAACACTAGTGGGTAAGATATCCAAACAAGGTACCAGAAGGGGCCCCAGTATGTACAGGGGAAAAATCTCTGGAGTGACAACGGCGGTCTCACTCCCCGTTTTTGTAAAGTCATGCTTGTTGGCTTGAGACAACTTGAGGCCAATCCTCCCTGCGTATCACAAAACACTATGCATGAAACAGGTATGTAGTCAGGAAAATTGAACGGCCTCCTTGGAGCTTGCTCTCAGCTGCCCTGAGTCCCTCCCACTACACTGGACATCTTCCCTGACGCATCGTGACATGAACCCACAGAGAAGAAATATGACAGGTCAAATTGCTTTCCTTGCAATGCATGCATTAGTTATTATCTACATGACTGTCTTTCACTAAATAGTTAAAACAAGCTTGTGTACGGGCTTTGGCCTATTTAATAACCTGTTACTGATAATCATCCACCCGGGTCACATCCAGTGCAGTTGTTACTGATTTTGCTATCAACTGAAATGGTTATGTTTGGTTTTAATATGAGCATAGTATTAAGAGGTATTTTAGTAAAATAATTTGTTCACATTTATTGCATTTTGTACCAGCAACTGACTGCTACTTTAAATCCCCTGTACAGTCCTGTACCAAGGCTGAAGGGAGTGGTCATAATTAGCTAGTAGAAACAGTTAGGATGTAAGTAACAAAGCACAAGATGATTTGTAAAATGATTTATCACGCATACATAGGACTAGAAGAACGCAAGTAGTTGTCAAGGTCTAGGATTAATGGGAGCTGAGGGAAGTGACCGTAACAACCTGCAAGTACCTGCCAAGAAACCGTCAATTTAAGCAGAAGGTAATTCTGACCACCGACTCATGGACCGCCTACTCACGTTACACCCCAGAACCATTTCTAGACATTTCTAGCTTTCACTGCGCATAGTCGGAAATAGGAGGAGAGTACGTTGATGATTTACATGAAATTAGATGACTATGTATGAATACTTAATGAGTAAATTTTACGTAAGATGTATAATTCTGGTGCCTGGTGTGCGTTGTTGGTGAGACAACTCCCCTGCACACCCAGCCGTTAATAAACAAGCGTCTGCTTATCTACATCACATTGGTGTCGGTAAGTTTTTATCCCGGTTTTCGGTGACACAGTGGTTGTAACCAATGCATGACATCAGGAATCGAGTAAAGCACTCAAAAGAGGCAATGGTGGCTTGTCTGCTACAATCAGTGCTCCGAAAGAAATTCCTAGCCGGTTATTTTGGAAGACTAAATCTGAATGGTCATTGTAAAACTACATTATGCAGATAGTGTTGACTTCTGCCTACATCAACAGTCTGCTCCAGTCTAGTAACACTCCTTCAGGATGAACTATAGAGAGGCTGTCATGGGCTGGGATACACTGCTTAGTGATGGTGCAGACAGGACAACAGAAGCTGTTCGGAGCTGCCGTGGCTTTGACAGAGGAGGAAAAGTTCAGGGATTAAGGATGCAATCTGCTTGAGGGTGGAATTGTTTCTTGGAGATGAGCATGACTTCCCTTTGTTTTGTTGGGATATGCAGATCAGGGCTTTGTAACTGTGAACGCCTGGGGGTACCTGGGCAGTTACCAGCTACTGCAGAGAACATTCTTACAGAGCTGTGGTGAGCGTGTTACCAGAGACGTGACCAAAGAGCAGCTATTCATGTTTGTTTCTTATTTTTCTATAGGTGAACGAAGCACTTCTTCCTGGGCTTATCTGGACTAAGTCACCATCATCTTTCACCTTCATTACCTTCACGGTATTTTTTGCAGCACTCACCTTGTATCAACTGATGCAGACAAAGGTATGCAAATATAAAGTTGTGGCTTTTGCTTCTGGAGCAGAACACCAGATGTTCAGAACTCAGATGAGCCACTTAAATTCACTGTTGTCAAAGAGGGCTTGAAATTCTATTTTGAGTAAGCCCAACCACTCCTGCTGTCTAAAAGCCAACAATGTTTAACATTAACAAAAATTACTGAAGAATTTTACCATTTAAACAGCTACAGAAGTTACTGCTCTCTTTGATTCCTTGCAATTACTTGAGAACTTCATGTGGTCCTGAAGTAAATCTAACTCTTTGCTCATATTTTGCTGACTGAAAGTGCCACTCAGCATCTGAGCAGGAAGTTAGAGGCACAGCAGTATAAATTGTTAACTCATGTATGCTGGCTGAGCAAACATGAAGACAGGTATTCTGATACTCTGACTTTTCTTGATCTAATATTCAAAGTGGTTTAAGTAGGTATGATTCTCCAATCAAAGTTATAAAACCCCCCAAATTCTTGAAGAGCTGATGCTGACTCTATGTATTTTTGCAAGGTCTGTAGTCACAGCAGCAAACTTTCAGGTCTTTAAGATCTGTTCAGCAGGTTCTGGCTGCCAGCCTCTAGATGCAGGTGCTCAGTGTGCCCGTAGGCCTAGAGCACATTGTGTGTGCGTGACTGGAGCTTGCTAGCTCAAACACATCCTCCTGTTCTGAGTCATGAGACTAGAATTTGTTTAAAAATTGTAACAGAATTTTTAAACAAACCCATCTTCCTAAATTGTATAGAGGAAGGTGGCAATGACTGACAACTGGGGCTGCCCCATCTTCCTAAATTGTATAGAGGAAGGTGGCAAGGAACCCCCATGACTGACAACTGGGGCTGCCCTAGCAAAGGGGCTTGCAAGAAACTGCAGAACTCAAGGGACAGAAAGCAAGCAGGAATGTGCACATTCTGTTACTCATTCCTCACTCCTTCACGTGCACATTCTGTTTTATTCCACATTTCTAATCCATTTAGCACCCCAGCCCTGCCCTGGCTCCCCAGGTGGGAGTGACAGGCAGGGCAGTCAGCCAGCTCCCTCAAACTGCACTTACTTCATTTAAATTGTGCACTGAAACAGTAGTTCCACTCTAACAGTGGGTAATATACATCTCAGGGGTATATTTATTTTCAACCATCATGAGTCAGAGGGTCTCTGTACCCATTGTAGCCAAAAATGCTCTGTAGGCAATAGAACAAGAGGTGAATCCTGCTCTAAAATACAGCAAAATACTTGCGTTTAGCTTTGCAATTTCGTAAGAATTCAAAATTAAGAATTTCCTTTAGAAAAAAAATCTCCAATAATCCCAACTGTCCCAGCATGACTCTGCTAGAGTGTCCCATTTGCAAGATTATCCATGCATGAATCTGTCCATTTCTCTAAAAAAAAGTTAACATAAAACGGTAATGAAAGAACTGCAATACACAAATTAGTTTTACTCATAAAAATAATTCCTTCACAAACAAGACATTTTAATGGGGATAATGCAGAGGTGTGCAATATTTTAATGTAATCATGCACTAGTCAGCATACATGTTAGCTAAATGACAATGTACAATTTTTCAGGTGTTTGTATCTAGTTGGGTTTTTTGGTTTTTTTTTCCCCCATGTCTTCTGTTTAAGAGTCAACTACCTGGGACAGGGATTATCTTTTAACTTGTAAGACTTGCCCACATGCAAGTACTACATGGGAATGAGGTGCCACCTCTATGCTAATAATGAGCAGAGATGTCAGTGAACTGCCACCACCTGGTGACCCATTCTGCTATTGGGGCAGGAAAAAAGCAGTACAGAAACTTTAGCACTTAAACGGCAAAAGGATCTGCTTTAAAACAAACGAAAACACTTCAGAGCCTACACAGATTAACTCACTGGTACACAATTTTGCCAGGGATTTGTTACATTCTAGTGGTTCTAGGCAAAGTTGACTGTTACCAATACTACTTATCTGCCTCTTAAAACTACAGGAGCTTGAAATCCACAAGCTTTTCTTGACATGTTCCAATGAACCCTGTAAATAACTGCAAGGGCATGGCATTTGTATCATGCTCTGCAGCTGCAGAGGAAGAGATGTGCCCATCAATAATATTTAATTTTTAAATGTTCCCTTTACTTATCCTTGCAGCAAGCTACCTCTGTGTGGCAGTTATGTTGCTCTAGCTAAATTCAGACATTTAAATAGTTACTGACTGTACAAGGTTGTTTTTTTTTTTTGATCAAACCATTCCAGTTCTGCAGCTCGCAGCAGTAGAATATAAAAACTGTTATTAAGATTCTATTAAGAAAAAAACCCCAACAGATCTATATTAAAGACTTCCTATAATAAAGTATTCCATTATTACATAAAAACATATCCCAAGAAAAAAAGTGTTTCTTTTTCTTTAGGCATAGTTTCTTTTTAAAACTATTTATTAAAGATATCCTTAAAGATATCTACCAGTGCATCTGCTGCCCTCAGAACTAGAAGGCAGCATTTCACAAAACAAGTCCATACAATTATTTACATCTGTTCACATCTTAGATTGCTCCATTTTCAATGCTGGATCCATTAACTGGAGGCTCAACAATCAGTCTTGGCTCTATCAGCGCATCCCAACTTTCAGTTATCTGAAAACAAAATACAGACAATACTGAGCATGTACAAGCTACACAGGCAGATGCAGTTTCTCCTACATAAGGCTTCATCTAGACTTGAACAGAGATCACAGATCCTTCCTGCAATTCACCCATCTTCATGAACCTCAACCTGCCTAAAGTCTTGGGTGAGGAAAAAGACAGGTAAGACAAACAGTGCATGCAATGAATAACCTTGTGAGAACTGATACTCTCTAGACATGCTGTTGTTCATTGTATTAGTCAGGACAAAAAGTTACAGTTTGATGACTGGTTTTGAACCTAAACAATCGAATAAAATGCAAGAAGTGATTCTTATCTGGTAATCATACAATTCTTGCTAGAAAGGAACAATGATTTTTGCTTCTATTTATTTTAATCAGATGTGTTACCATAAAGGGAATCTCACAGAGATGAACAGACTCAAAGCAGGGCATGTGTCAGCAACACAAAACTTTTAACAGGCTGCAAACCAGGACACCCACGTACCTTTGTATCTTGAGGAACAGCATACTCTATCAGTTCTGCTCCATCTGCAGACTGGTAAACCAGATCGAACTTCCCTGGCTCTTTAGCAGCTTAAAAAAAACCCCAAACAACTCCATTAACCATAAACAAAAAAGTTTAAATGCTTACCATATTTAGAAAGCTAAACAAACCCAGGTTTGGGGGTTTTTAGTTGGGTATTTGGGTTCATAAATGTAACAAAAAATCTGAGGTAGAACTGAATACACATCAAAATGAGGGTAATTATCTAATATAACTCTGCATGAAAAGTTAATCAACAACATGCTGCCTAAATTAGAGAACCATGCTCATAAGATGATGACTCATTAATTTTGGCTTAAATGGTAACTGCAGTATACAGTCACTTTCAGAAACATTCCTAGTTTTAAGTCTCTTTAAGTGCCCTTTGTCATTGCAGGGACTCAGTTCTACATCCACTGAAGAGAGCAGCTTCACTGACATGGCAAATAACGGCCTTATGATCTAAAATCTTCTCTGCAAGTCTCTACAATGATTTTATTCACAGTAGAGATGGGTTACTGACTACTCACACTGACTGGACAAGTTTCATTCTGTAAATACCTATGAGCATCTTCAATACAACTAGCAAGTGTTAGAACTTCTCCATTTAAATAGACTTTGGAGAGGGAGTGAGGATGGGAGGGGTGTGTTGAGAAGGAACACAAGGAAATATTCCTGAAACATGAAATGTGCCCTGGACTAGCTGCTTTCCAAGGGATGCACATGACAACAAGCATTTAGTATCCCAGGGTACGTACATTGTCCTGCTGATGACGAAAGGATCTCAAGCTCGATCTGTTTTTTATCAGCATTCCAACTGATTATTTTTCCCTCCTTCATAAAGCAACAAGAAAAAAATCAGAGAAGATATATTAAGCACTGGATAACTATCCCTTATTTACAACCACTGTGGTACTTGATCACAGTTAGAGGAAGTATATCTGTCAAATTTTTCTATCTCTATGTATGAAATCTGCAAAGTATTAAAGCTCAGCAATCTGCAGTTACTGGCATCAACAAACCAAAGTTATTAATTGTCAATGTCTTTGTAGGCTAAATCAGTACGTATCCAGAAACCGAGTTATTTCAGGTAGCAACAAAATTTTACTGGCACCAGTTCCAAGAATTTGCCTTGACTTCAAACAGCAGTAGACTGGAATACGGCTACATTTTTCTACTTGAAGGTATGCATTTTGTGTCATCTCTACAATATTAATGATCATTAATAATTCTTGTGGATTTTTTAAAAAAAACACAACCTGTTACACCTTTCAAATTTTCAATTAGTTTTGGGTTCTAGAGTTTTAATTTTTACTACTGTAGCAGGAATAGCCTGCAGAGTCAACTGGATAAGAAAACCACTACACAACCTCAAAATATTTCAGCCTTACCTCACCTGTAATAGTGGTGTGAGTGAATTAAGGGAGAAAAGGAAAACAGTACCTTATAGTCTGAAACTTCAGGACTGTAATTTTCAGTTAGTTCCAAGCGCTGTTGAGAGGAACACAAATAACAAATTACAACTTTTCCTGATCCCTGAGGATGCCATCTATACTCAGACACAGTTTATTCAGCAATAGGGAAGTGCAAGAAACCAAGCCTCCCGCTGCTGATGCTAACCACAGTCCCAGGTTGTCTTCCAGGACTCACTGCTCCAGAGAATTTACATTCAGGTCAGGCTGCGAGAGGAGATCAGGGAGATGGATCCCAGTCTCTTCAACTGCAGTGATTTCATTTTCATTTACTTTATTTTGTGGTGAAGTGTAATCATTTGTATGGTAAATTTTGCAATAATACTGTAGCAATGCTATAGAGAGAAATAGCAACAGATTTTTTTTTTTTCTTCTTATAGCATCTAATTTTAATGCTCACTTTCCTGCCATGTTGGAAGTAGATGGGTAACATGCTTCTTTCTTGCATTTTTTTTTTAAACATAAACCTTGAAAATATGTCCACAGTAGTAGAGAGACTTTGTGAAGGAGCAACTAGAAAATTCTGGTATTTGTGAGCTCATTTGTGTGCTAGCTAAGACTCACTGTACAAATGTACACAGAAATTTAAACTGAAATTACAACAGAGACAACATCTCTTCGTATTATACAAATACAGTAAGTCTAAAGAAATGCATTTAATTTATGCACATGCTCCAAACCTCTGTAAAAATCAGAGTCAAACCGCAACAAAAGAAATTTTTAGATCCAACAACAGAAAGGGTAACGGTTTCTGTTGTATGGGAAAATACTAGGTTAGAGCAAGAAAGGAGTGAATGCCTTCAGAGATGCCTACAAACATTAGACAAGACATGCACTGAGCCATTTGCTTGAGTTTAAAACAAAATTTTTAAGAAAGAACAAGTAGGATGAAGACTACTTCCTAACTCTTATACTTTTAGGATAACGGTCCCAGAACAATGTCAGATTAAGTGCTTCAGTGTAAGCATTCCGTTGTCAGGACTATGCTATTGGTAGCGTTTCCTGCAGAGTGGCCCAAATTAAACCATTTTAGCCCACTAACATTCAGTATTTCACAAGTTCCTTACCTTAAATGCAATTCTTTCTCCCACTTGTGGTGGGGCAGCTAGAAGAGGTAACACACTATAGTCTCTCTTGGGGACCTCCACAGGATTCTGTGAAACAAAGAGTAAACCCACTGATTCAATTACTGTATTGATAAAAACAGAAGACAATGTTTATGCTGTATGGACTGCAAGAAGTTCTGAGAAGGGTGAGGTCTGTATCCGAGTGCTCTGTTTTGACATACGCAGTGCAATCACTTAAATATTGTTTCATAAACACTTCATCAGGCTGCTAAATAGAGATACAGTAAATATGAGATTTACTAAGTTAACATCAAACTTTATCCTACTAGTCTTTTCTGCTTTTACAAATTACTCTCATCCTGTAAATTTTTGCTATAGTTAAAGCTGCAAGAGAAAGGTGACCTATGACTGAGTCACTCACCTGGACAAAAACAGAAGTGTTTGTCGCAGTTTCATTTAACTGCCTCTGTTTCTGGCCTTCGTTGCTGTAGTTATAGAAGAAGACAGAATTTGCTCCTCTCCCATGGCCTTGGCCCCTCATCATCCCACGGAACCCACGGCCCCTAGGTCCTCTCCAAAAGTTACCCTCTCCCATTCCACGCCCTCTTCCACGACCAGGGCTGGCAAGTGGTTCTTGAATGCTGGTTGGCAACTGTTTAGTGCAGTTTCTTACTATGGAATTACTCAGTCCAGAATTTGCTGTGGGTTTTTTAATAACAAGTGTTTCTGAATCTGAACTATCAGACTCTGAAGAGGAGGTCTTTGCTTTGGGAGCCTTGATGGTACTGGATTTTACAGCTGCCCCGTTGTTAGGTGGTGACTTTTCCTTTGCAGCATTGTCTTGTGCTGTTGCTGCTTTCTCATCCTCTGTACTCGAGTCAGAATCTGAACTGGAGGACTGGGATTTTTTAGCATTTTTACTAACTGCAGTCTTATTGGAATTTTCAGCATTAGACTTTACAGCCACTTTATTAGAAACAACAGTTTTCCCATCAGAATTTGTAACACCTTGGGACTTGTCTTTGGGAAGTGTTGCCACCACAGGTTTACGGGAAGATTTATTTTGCTTTATGTTTAGTTCACTGCTGTCACTGTCAGATGACACACTGGAGGAATCTGAAGCTCCAACCCTCTTTCTACTGGACTGTGTTATGATTTTTTTGTTGTTAGTTTTACCAGAATTCAGAGAAGAGCTCGCATTTGCTTGTTCTAAATCCATCTTTGCTGCAACGGCCCTTGTCTGCTTTTCATCCTTCTTTTTTGTTGCCAACTGTTTCTCCCTCTTCAATTTTTTAAGCTTTTTAGATTGGTCAGTAGAGCTCTCTTCCTTACCTTCTGTGAGTCTATTTCCTCCAGAAACTTCTTCCTTTCTTTTTCTTTTCTTGTACCTTTTTTGAGAGTCCTGCATATCTACAGAGGTCTCTTCCCTACAAGAGGAATACTCAGGATTATGTTTATTCTTTTTCTTTTCCCTTTTATGCCTGTCGTCTTCATTTCTAGAGAATTCTTCCTGCTTTTGTCTGTGCTTTTTTCTGTCTTCTTTTGGTGTATAAGAGAAGCCATCATCCACCTCTTCATAATCATCTTCTGCTATCTCTTCTAATTTTACTCTGTCAAAAAGAGCCAAACAAAAGCCGCTGTTGAGCAAAATTAACACTTTTCTTCCTATGCACGAGCAGCTCAGGTCTGCTTATCTTTTGGGATGCTCCAGCTGCCAAGGGGACAGTTCCTAAGCAGGAGCTGCTACCCTGGCCCAAGGCTCACGGCCTCAGGGAGGTCTTTCGAATAAAAACGCCCGCTCGGGCGGTGTGGGTGCTCGGGGCCGGCCGCGGGAGACTTCCCACCCCTCGGCTCCCTCACAGAATCATCTAGGTTGGAAAAAACCTTAAAGACCATCTAGTCCGGCCTCTTTCCGACACGCCGGGGTTTCTCGGGCACCGCAGGCTCT